CATTTTGGCATGCTAAAAAGCTTAGGCGAAGTAAACATGAAAAAATGTGTATTTATAAGTAAAACTGATACTTATAAACTTTTTTATGAATACTTTTCCCTATGATTTTGGATAATGGCTAGAATACTTGTGATCCCTCAAGTGTGGACGATTTTTCCCACTAAACTGCTGAAACTTCACAGGTATTAAAGCTGTTCAAAGAATGTCTCTTGTTGTCTACATTTCTTACGTTTGGAATTAAATGGCCCGTTTACTAGCTCTTAGGCAAAACCACGATAATACCACGTACTATTGCCTATTGGAAATGCTTTTAGGAGATCCTTTTATCATGAAACGATGTTCTTAAAGAGCAGAAGTCAGTTCTATAACTTTCACTTTCCTATTCAGTTTCTTAAAAAAATGTAAATAAAACTGCCATGTTTATAATACCGTGAAATTGAGCGGAAAACGTTTCCGGTTTCCGACAGGTTCAAGGAAAAGTTAGGTTCCAAATATCTCAGGAACTACAGGGACGAACTAACAATTTACACGGTTTTACATTCCGGAAAGTTCAATACCCTTGAGTTCTTACTGGAAATTTTTCACTTTTTTGACGTAACTTTTGTAAAAATTAATCAATACAATCACTTTCTAAATTAATTTTCCCAACATTAACAAAAGCTTCACATGATTTCACAATCACACTTTTCATTGTTTAAGTGGGTAGTAAAAGTTCACTTCATGTGCATATTTTGTACTGAAGATTTTTAATTCATAATTCACAAGGACGATCAAGGCTCAAATAAATGTTACACAAAGCGCTGAGTAAGTGATATTGAACCAATTTTGAATACGTAAATCAGCTAGCAACATAAGAATCACAGCCGATATAAAGTCGCGGTGGAACGTATGTATCAGAACTACATTTTGACGTTTCGTAGGTAGTATGAATATTTTTACACTTGGATCATACAGATGTGTTCAGCTCGTGGATTTTGAATTTCCAAGACTAAGATATCCCTTATATTAGGTCGTCAAGAAATTAATGTCGTGTTTTGGAACCCTTTCATTAACCACCTCCCAAAAAAACTAACATCACGTATAATAGTTAAACAAACCGCCTAAACGTCACGTTAGTGTAGCCTATATAGTGTGTAAAGTTTAGCATACTCTATTCCCTTATAGTGATGACACATGACGAGACACACAATTGGCATGTAATGCTGTTTTAATTCAAGAAGGAAAACAACGCCTCTGTAGTCATAAAGAATATAAAAGATGTTTATGGAAATGTTTTCAACGTTGTGTCAACGATGGTTCAGCAAATTTCGTTCAGGTGACTTTAACCTTAAAAACTGTGACGGCAGGGGCCGACATGTTGGAATTGATAATGATGCTCAGAAGACGCTTGTTGAGTCTAACCAAAGGCAACACACTCGTGAAATGGCCCTGAAATTGCATGTCTCTCATGAAATAATATGTAAACATCTAAGGAATATGGGAAAACTCCTTAAAGAAGGTGTTTGGGTGCCTCATGAACTCTCCGATGATCATTGTTTCCAACGTGTGAATGTTGCTTTGTCTCTTCAGGCTCTTAATGTGCATGAACCATTTTTGGACAGAATTGTCACCGCTGATGAAAAATGGATTCCCTATGCGAATATTAAACGCCAAAAACAATAGCTCAGTCCTAGACAAAAACCACTTCCGACGCCAAAACCTGGACTCCATCCACAGAAAATGATGCTTTGCATTTGGTGGGACATCAAAGGAGTAATTCATTTCGAACTCCTCAATCCACAGCGAACTGTCAATGCAGAGATCTATATTCAGCAATTGGAACGTTTAAATCAAGCTCTTCAACAGAAACATCCTTCGCTCGTCAATCGGAAAGGTATTCTTCTTCTCCACGACAATGCACGTTCACATGTGGCATGTTTGACGCAAAACAAGATTATGGAGTTGGGTTGGGAAGTTCTCCCCCATATTCTCCAGATATGGCACCATTAGATTACCATTTTTTCTTTGGCAGCAACACCATCTTAATGAGAAAACGTATGCAAATATGGAAGGTGTTAAAGAGAACATTGACATGTTTTTGTTACTTCAAAGCCAAGTGATTTCTTTAATCGAGGCATTAACAACCTGATTGTAAGGTGAGAAAGCATGATCGATAAAAATGGAGACTATTTCATTTAATAAATGTTTTGTTTTGGTATATAAGTTGTTCGTTTTTTTTCATCTAATATAAATTTCTTGACGACCTAATACTTAACAATATTGGAAAACAAAGGAAAATGAATCACCTTGTGAGCCCAGGTTCATCCAAAAAGAGACACACAACAAGTCGTACACCAGCTGTAGTAAGAAAATGCGGCGTCTTGTAACAGGCAACATTACGCAACATAATTACGAAGGTTTTCTGTCTGGCAAAGAGACACATGTCACGTGTACACAAGTTGCTTCCAAAACAGCTGCATAACTCAAGCAGATGGAGAATGAAAATGGTATTCATGCTACTTATCCGAAAATATTTGGTTTGGTTTGAATTTCGCGCAAAGCTACACGAGGACTATCTGCGCTAGCCGTCCCTAATTTAGCAGTGATAGACTAGAGGGAAGGCAATTAGACAACATCATCCACCATCAACTCTTGAGTTACCTTTTTTACCAACAAAGAGTAGGATTGACCGTCACATTATAACGCCCCACGGTTGAGAAGGCGAGCATGTTCGGTGACGGGGATTCGAACCTGTGACTTTCATATTGAGATTTAAGCACCCTTCCAACCAGACCATACGAAGATATATTAGGCAAGTCACCAGATGCATCGCCTGAGGATTTGACTGCAAACGGGTGCTGGAAAACCATCGACCTCGTACACTAGATACACGATGTAAAGCCTGCAGGGAAGACTGGTCTGCTTTGGGAGCCTATTTCAATGTAAACTACGATACAGGACTATTGTCAAGAAACACGGCCGTCATACAGAGCAGGACCGGACGTGGCGAAATGGACTGTAACGACTTGTTGAGTCTTTAAAATCGTTTAATATAATTTACTTAATCACAGAGCTACACAATAGGCTATCTGTGCTCTTCTCACAGCAAGATCGAAACCTGATTTTAAGCGTTATAAGCCTTCAGACTTACCGCTGAGCCACAGGGTGGGGACTTACCTATGGCAGAACATGAGAGTTTAATCGAAAACTGAGATGAAAAAAATGCAAAATCTGCTGTGCTAACTTACATTCCTAAACATGGCACAATGGCTTACGTGTTAGCCATTGTGGGCCTCAACACTGCCAGAATGATGGCCATCTTAAGTGCTTCACATTTCTAAGCAAGTGAACACAACAAATTTGTATTAGCGTGTTAATCTCTACACTGTCAGCACTTAATGAAATATGCGTCAACATATATACACCATATTTCTAAATCAGTATACAATGACTTAAGTATTAACATGTTAATCTACATACCGCCAGTTATTATTCAGATATGCGCCAACCTATACATCTCACATTACAATAAGATTTATAGCAACTTACATATTAGCATGCTAATCTCTCACCGCCAGTTACTTCTAAAATATCCGAAAACTTAAACGCACCACATTTCTAAATGACGTAACATTGTTCTTCTTTATTCAAATATAAGAAAGATACAGAAATATCGCTATACCATCTACACGCCAATCTGAATAATCCACACTTACACAAAATGTACAGAAAAACTGATTAGCAAGTCAGTGCATTAATTTGAATATCTTATATTTCGATATTACACACGTTAACACTAACTGAACTATGTACCAACATGAATATCTGACATTTCGACACTTGGGCTTACACAGGATCATAGTAACGTCCAAAATTTCTAGTACCAGCATTCTAACAATATGTAAGACCACAGAACCTCGAGATACAATATATCTGATATTATACAGAAGTTAAATTTTCAAACTCCCACAGTTCCGAGCTAAAACAGGCGATATTTAAAATTTATACCAGACAAAAACCTCACAGGTTTAAAATATCACAAGGAAACTTTATGGAAAACTAAAAACACACATGATCGTAACGTGCAGCTCTACTAACGTAACATAGGATTATATCGACTCTGGTGCCTTTTCGAAATAATAAAAGAATCCAATGTTGCGAAATCCAAAAATTATGATGTACATAGGATAAAGACTGAAAGCCTCAGGATTGAGGCGTAATACATTACAACACAGAATCCCAATATTACAAAGATGTCACTCAGACACATTCCAATGTACGACTCTTTTGATATAACACAGGAAATTTTAAGAATAATAAGTTATTCTTAAGCCTATCTTACTAAATATTGTGATTACAAAAGGGCCTTTCTCATACCACACAGCTTAAATGTAAAAATAAATAAAAAATGCCATCCAGAATTCTGTGTAAATAAAATTCTGATAAAACACGCATATCAATGTTGCAATATAGTTGACTCTTATGCATACATATATGCAAGCCTGTCTAGATACATTTCTTTTATGACACAGTTCGAAAGGCAAGTTTTCAGAAGAACAACATATATTTGATACAGTTCGCTATCCCATGAAACAATTTCTAGCGGTCCATAGCATAAACACCCAATATGATCCAAGATCACGAGTACCGATACAAAACAACTGAATCCAGAGGTACAAATGTCTTGAAAGTCACACGAACTAAAAAGTACATAAAAAATCAATGCTTTTAACATATGATTCCATGATATAATCCACTCATATCTCGAGATGCATTCCTAATCTATAAAGTGATCCCGATATACATTTTTCGATCCAACCGTGAATTATAAAATTCTATCCACCACTCCCCACTCCCCTGTAAGCAAAAGTGGACTCGTTCTTGTTTTTCCAAAACAAGCACAGCCGGTTACAGGTACACAGTTCTCCATGCGACCCAACCAATCGGTCAGATTTTCATCAAGTGGATGGTGGGTGAGGGTCTTACCCGATGCAATCATCTAGTAATATATTTTTATACTTGAATGTGTAGTAAACTGTTCCCACTACAGAACTGAGTGACCAATGGCCACTCACTACAAGATAAATTGGCCACATCATTGTGAAACAAAAGCAAATTGACGAAACCTGTCAAGTTGGTAAAGAAATATCCCAACGCATTAACTTTCTGGAACCGAAGCACACCTTTACATATTCCAAGGTGGGCTTGTTTAGGCAAGTTAAAAAGAACCTTTGTAATTTACAACAGGTATGTAAAAAACTTCTTATCTTTTTTTTCTAAAACAATTCACGTTTTTTTTTTTAAAGATAACTTAATACTAATTTATATTTTTTGTCCATCTGTTTCATGGAACCCAATTTTTTTCTGTTTTTATATCATCCTACAACTGTCTGAGTTTATTCAAGTGGTTCAATTTTTCCCTCTGTCTACTTCTATTTATATGTTTGATGTAAGAAGGCTCTATCTTCCTCTGTACTCATATTTGTTATACTTTTTTTTTCTCCTTTTGCCTGTTATTTGAGACTGATTTAACGCTCTGTCTAAAATTTTCTATAAAGATAATTTGAACTTCATATGAATTTCAACTTGATTTTTCAAATAGTAGTTTTTTATATAATGATGATGATATTACGCGAACTTTATGATGTGATATGTTGAAACACACACTTAAATCTTCTTTGAATGTCTCAGGTGCTAACCAAAATCACTAGTTACATAGGTTAGTCTATCAGATTATGAGATGTGATATGTTGAAACACACACTTAAATCTTCTTTGAATGTCTCAGGTGCTAACCAAAATCACTAGTTACATAGGTTAGTCTATCAGATTATGAGATGTGATATGTTGAAACACACACACTTAAATCTTCTTTGAATGTCTCAGGTGCTGACCAAAATCACTAGCTACATAGGTTAGTCTATCAGATTATGAGATGTGGTGATATGTTGAAACACACACTTAAATCTTAAATGTTTGGAGGAATGTCTCAGGTGATGACCAAAATCACCAGTTACATAGGTTAGTCTATAAGATTAAGCAGCAGTGTTAAACTAGAACGTTCCAAAGCTTTACCCTACACATACATACATACAAACAAAAGGGTGTAGAGTGGCCATCTTCTAATATACATTTTCTAAATATTTGCTCTTACTCAAAACTGTATAATGAATTTATAACTGGTATACTAGAGATAATCTCATCTACAGCGCTTCAGAAAGATACAGTCACTACATAGAACTAGTTTTGTAGTTTATATCTTTCAACCACGCTTTTACACACACAGACGTATAGCTTGTTTTGTTTTTCTGAATACTTAAATCTCCAGTAAAAGATTTTATCATACCTACTTTTCTTTGCAACAAACAGGTTCAGAGATATAAGAACCGGTTGGAGTTTCCATACACATGTATTGAAATACTACACACATACACACACACACACACATATATATATATAAGTGCTTATATGCTCTATTTCACCACCTTTCTTGTTAACGTTCTAATTTACAGAAAAGCAGTTTTGATAGTTAGAAGTTATGAATCAGTAAACAGGTGCCTGACTTGTTAAAATGATACCTTGTCAAGCTTCGTATATCATTATGTCAAGCTACACGGACATATGGTTAAACTAATCTTTTTCATGCTTCGCACATAATTATTTAAAATATCTAACTTATGTAGAGCTTGTTTACTACTAGTTTCGTATTCTATATTCATTTTTCCACGGACTATTTTTTTCTTAAACATTTTGTAAAAACTGGCTACTATTCCTTTTTCTCCTTAAATGCGGTATTTACCTTTTCAAGAGTTTTCATCAATGGTGAATGCCAAAATAACTACATTTTATAAAATAAATACTGAACGTCCAAAAGAATAATTTCAGATTACGAAGCATCTTGTTTGTGCGTGGGAACCCTTCTCCTCGATTATCAGTTTCGGCAGCGCCCTCTGGCAAGAAACTAACCTATTTTACCAAATGTAGGAGGATTGAGGCGATGACATCACCTTACATATATCGTTACTACCGGTTCAACCTGCTGGACAGTGAAAAATTCGGTGTCGACTTATGCCATATTTTATTCAAATAATTGGAATACTTAATATAAATTATTCTAAACTCCAAGTGTTTCAAATTATTTTTTAATGGAAAACAGAACCCAAATCACACTTAATATGTCTGACACGACACCAAGGTGTTTTAAAACAAAACTTTCACCTCCAGAAGTTAAAACTTTCAAAGACCTGTTATTTTACAGTAAGTAACACTGACATTACATAACTTCTAATGCAAAGACATCACAACACTATTAAATATTTCTCTACATTTACTTTCTAGCATGCCTTACTTTTGATGAACTAACAAGGAACTAAAAGGACAGTGTGTATTTAGACTGAGCTGACGATACATTTCTTTACACCAATCTGATTACAACACGACCGCTATACAGATCTTATTAACAGTTTACCAATACAAACGTCGTTCGGTTCCTTGTAACGTTGATGTAACATGAATCTGATTGGTATTGATCGTGTTTGTCTCAAATGGCTGATTACTTTTGGACCTCACTACTTCTACTACACGAACATGAATAGTACAGTGAGTGTTCGTCCAGTAATCTGAGTGTCTATGTATTTTTAAGATTGTATGAACCTGGCTTTTACAATATTTGAGTCAGTTACCTGACTGGCTACTTACCTTTAACACTATATGAACTCAACTAGTATACTATTTGGTCCGGCGATGTGATTGTTTCAGTGTTTTAGTCAGTGAGCTGACTAATTTTGTATTTTTACTATAACTAGAATCAGACTGGCACAATGTTTGGCTCAATAATCTGACTGAGTCGGTTAAAAATGTTAAATATTTAATCGTCGGTTAGTTTATACACTAACTTTCAATTCTGTTGTAAAAAGTTAACTCGTGTAAGTAAATAATGTATAATATTAACATTATGTTTGGAGGAATGTATTTTGTAAATGACTGACAATTAAAGGTTGAGGTGAGTAACCTTTCCCTTAGTGTCGGGATCATATCGAGACGTTCTGGAATTCAAGGTAATAGTACTTCGCATAATTCTTAAAAAAAGAAGATCCATATAATATATATCATGAAGCCTGTTTCCTGAGGTCGTTTTTGGCCCACCAGAAATGTAGGTCAGTATTACCAGGGTTAAAATCTGACATCTCGACCTACTTAGGAACAGTTACAGGCAAATTAATGGGAAGCTCTATCTAGGAAACCTGATGCAGTGCCTCAGTCTACCCTCTTGCAACCTGTAAGTTCAGACCTACTTTTCTGCTAATTTGTAGAAACCACGAACTGAACGGGTTGTCACGTACTTCCGTTTACAAAAGAAGCTGCGTGTTTGAATATCATGCTTTTTTTCTTTGTATATCCTGTTATGCTTGTTTTTCTCTACAGACAATAATAATGTAAAAATTCCACGTTAGAATGTAAAAACCACAAGTTCAATTCTATTGAAAATATTTCAATCCATACATAGGGGAACAGAATGGGTCGAAAGTAGATTGATATAAAATGGTACTAATGTATTAACGGTATCGATAATAACAACAACACATGAAGCAGTGTTTTGACGAGCTGCAGTATTGATGTTTTCAACCTTTATGTGATCATGGTATCAATGGTCAGGTAAAAGACCCCTACGGTTTTTGTATAGCCATTTATTATTTGGAACCGCTGACCACTGTGAATGCGGTCAGTTGACAGCACCTTCCGGAACAAGAGCTTTGTATTGATTTTGAACCGAATTGATTTTCACTTTTATAACACACCGTGTTCAACATCACCGTGGCGTAAACCTAAGACCTTTTGAGCTGTAGGCAGGCAGACTAATCATTAGGCTACGCTAAGTCTGGCACCAGATGGTCACGTTGAGAATGAATGGATAATGTGATAAACTATGAACATGTGTATTACATAGTACGTCTAAAGAAATCGCACAAATCTTTCCAGCCAACTCAACTGCAGTTAGTTCAATTTATGCGTTTGTACATACAAAGATATATTTATTCACACACATTTCTTCTATGCTGTGTAGAAGACTGACTGTCTAGTATTCTGAAAATATGACTGGTTTTCTCATATTCTAATCTATAACGTAAATTTTTATTAAATTATGAGAGATATTCACTGTGCAGTTCAACATATCCGTTTTGTTTTTTAATTTCACGCAAAGCTACATGAGAGATATCTGCGCTAGCCGTCCCTAATTTAGCAGTGATAGACGAAAGGAAAAGTAGCTAGTCAACACCACCCAACTCTAAGACTACTCTTTTACCAACAAATAGTGCGTCACTTTATAACGCCCCCACGACTGAGAGGGCGAGTATGTTCGGTTACGGGGTTCGAACTCGCGACCTTCAGATTGCGAGTAGAGTACCTTAACCACCAGTCCATGCCAACCCTTAACATGTTCGCATTTATGTTCAAAATATATATCAAATGTTCAAGTTGTGGTTGGACGTGAATTAATCAAAACTTACCTGTGATGAATTAATATTTCTGAAAACTGATATTTCAGTAAGAAAGATCGTGACGTTTGGATTGGCTTCTGGTAATGATGTTTACCTACATATTTCCAATTAAAATTACTGCAGAAAAGCTGAAACCAATTACTCTGACTTTTAACCTTCTACATTGGGTTTATGAACTTCAAGGTGTACTAAACCATGAACATATAAAATTCATACCTGAAAGAGGCTACAAATTAATGTGTCCACGCTCACAGATCAATTCGGATACGGCTTAACATTCTTTACTCACATGCATGTTAAAAATACAAACACAAATATATTTTTTAATTGTGATTACTTTTATAGGGGACTTGCCTAAAAATCGTTGAAATAAAAGAAATTTTAATATTGTTGTCAGTCAAACTAGTCTTCCAATCAGTTTATTTTAAAAAAAATCACCTCAGCGACAGTCTAAAGTACAATTTATATATACATATATATATATATAATTGCAAGATGGTGTTAATAAACCGTGTTGCAACTTCTACAGGAGAGAGGAAATAATTTCTCTTTGTCGATTATTATTGAATAAAGCTTATATGGACAAAAACCTGAAAGGGGTAATGTACAACGTCGCACTTAATTACCGCCAGGTGGAGCAGGCACCCTACGTTTAGGTCGGTGGTATGAAATATGGAATTACATCGTGCTTGGCTGCTAACGAAGAACGACCTTTACTGTTGAGCGCCCACGGCATTAAGGCCAATGT